CCCATACTAAGTCATTTGCAGGTATACAATTGAATTCTCAAGAAAGTATTCTCAACAACGTCTCTTTATTTTCATGAAGTCAAGAATAGTGTGAATGTTATATAATATAAAATAAAGTTGAAAAAGATAATTTTCATGAGACTTGAAAAGAAAATAAGTAGAAAATGCTTTTAATTTAAAAAAAAAAATTATAAGTCTGAGTAAGTAAGGTGGAGGAAAAAACTTTACTAGCGTATTGTACAGTGCTTTCCGTCATATAACCAAAATCTCGAAAAATCTTATCTAACATACGTCTAATCTTGCTAAATATTAATCAACAAATAGTTCAAATCTTGGTAAATCGTATTCAACACGTCATCTAAATCTTAGTGAATCTTATCAACAATATGCTTTAAATTATGGGAAATAATGTGTAATATATAATCTTTAATTGCAATCTTGTAAATTTATTTACCAACATATTCAAAGATTTAAATCTTGTGAAAAACTGCACAACATCTAATATTTTAGGAAAACTTATCCTACATATATAAAAGTAAAAAGAAATAGATCAAATGATATTTGTATTGTGATTCGAATTTTTTTAAAGTAGTTGGGAAATGGATACAATATCCCCCCCCCCCAAAAAAAAAGTGCGGAAAGAAAATTATTGGGTCAATTTGCATATAATACTTCTTATATGTAACAAAAAAAAACACACACACTTTTTCACTTTCAGTTTTCAACAACAATAAAAGAAGAAAAATTATTTTAGTACAAGAATTCTTTTGTCTCTTTACACAAACAGTGTACATGGCTTTGACAAGACTAACAAGTTGACTTAAAACTTTAAAAAAAAGTAATAAAAAAGAGACACTCTTTTTGTTCTGAGTCTTGTCTGGTTAAAGAATATAGTAATTAGGACTGAAAAAAACTAGGCAAGGAAAAAAAAGTGTGATTCGAGTTTGATACAATACGACCAGTACATAATGGACAAAAAAACTTTAGTGACATGTTTTTTTTTTATTTTGAAAAATACATATATTTATAATTTTTAATTGAAAATGTTTCTCTCAGATTAAAATTACAATCCATGATTATAATAATTTTCGATAATCACTCTTTTTTTAAGATTCAGTAATAATATATTTTTATTATATTCACTTAATGTGCAACGGGTTCAAAAACTCATTTTTATGCATTAATTAAAATTTAATAAGCTGTTCTGGCAAAAGAAAAACATTAATAAAGATTTTAATGCCCTCATTAAAGACGAAAAAGGCTCTCCTTCTGCACATAAATTCTCCATAAATCCTCCCTTTTTATTCATAAGGTATGTTACTTTTGAAGAGAGTGATTTTAGTTTTATTCAACTAATTAGGTGCTCTTTGAGAAGAAACTAAGGTCACTATAGAATTTCACATCTGTATTTTACTTTTTTTTGGGTTCATTGGAGAAAGAATTTTATAGTAGTGGTTAAGAAAAACTATACTTTTTGTAGTTAACTACTTTAAAAAAAAACGAAAAAGTGATTTTCTAACTTTTTTTGAACCGTGATCATCACTTCACTACTTTTCTGAGTTTCATGTTGCTGGAGAACTTAATTTACACCCATGTTCAAAATTGTTTTGAATATTAAATCAACTTATTTAAACATGATGAAACGTTAAGAAATATTAATTCATGTTTGCACGAACCAGTTTGTTATTCTGAACAAAATTTTTTTTTAAAGATTTGTTCCAATTTCTTACACCTGTTACGGTAGCGTATATTTATTTTAAGAAAGCTATGGAATTTTCAAATACTTGCGATTTTGTTAAGCGTTTAATGCTTTTTTTTATTTCCTCTAAAAAATGAAGGACATCAAAATTTGAGAGAAAATATGTTTTATGACGTATATACCGTTGAAAATAGTTATCAGGAATCGCTACAAACTACTGTTTTTTACATAACCCTACTAGCTATACTCCTTTAAAATATAGCATACAGCACTAAAGACTACGAAAGAACTAGCCACTACTGAAGTTTCGCTACACTGTAAAAACTGTGGTGCAGTACCTATCCAAATTTAGTGTTGAAAAACTCTAAAAATTGTGTGAATGACTACTTTACTTTAAATGAATACTGAATCGAACGCTATTCCACTCTTCAAAAAGTGCAGTTAAATCTTAATACCATTGATTTATAAAGTTTATACCCATCTGCAGCTCGTTGGCGAAGAAAGTTGTGTTTCTTGGAGCTAAATTTGGCGAATCATTATTGTATATTTAAACTATTTAACAAAATTCTTTTGTGAAATGATTGTAGCAAGCATTAAGCGTATAACTAAGGCTTTTGGACCATTATTGGAAGTTTAAAGGCAGCGAATAATTGTGAAATTTCAAGAAAGTGACGAGATGGCGGTTTGCTTACATGTTTACTGGTGAAATTTGATTTATTCTTGTCGGATTGAAAAGGCAAGCTGGTCATAGCTTATTTAATGACAAATAAGCTTCAAACCTATTTTCTGATTAAGAATATCGATTATGTCAATTATTTTCCGAATAATTTCATTCTTCTTGCCGAATAAATTTGACAAACTACTCATATAAACTGTTATAAAATGCATGTATGCTTTTAATTTTATAATAAAAATATTTATGTTCTCATAAGACCTACATAAATCTGCATATTGTATAAAGTAATTTTATAATATTTAATTTCTATTTTTTATGGTTTTGTTCAAATTCATAATAATATTGCGTCTGTGGTGTGTATATGTTTGATTAACAAACTGATTTTATTCTAAGAAATATTGTATGCTTGCATCCTAAATCTATGATCCTTGCTTCAAATTGAGGTAAAAGCATCTCTACTGATTCTTATGCGTATCACATCATACTATATAATTATAAATTTTAGTGTTACTGAATGACAAACATGGTGGTGGCTATTTTACACCAAATAGTGTAAAAAACATTTCAGGGTGTTTCTCTATACCAGGAACTGTCCTCTGTTTTGATGTAGTGGAACTCCTTTTTTAGTACTCAGATTAGATACACGATATACTGTACTTGTAGCGCGTTACTTCCGATTGCTGATAGATTATTTGGATTTTTTTTCTAACCTTACTGATATTGAGAATATATTTGATTCAAATCAAGGCTATATTCAAAAACATGTACATTTCAATCAATTTGTAACGAACATTTTTATTAATAGTGCAATTTATTAAGTAATTGTTAGACTTTTGGCAATTTTATAATTCTATTTTCTTACATGGAGTCTGATACTATTTTGGAAATTTTAGATTCGATTCGCCATACTCATGACAAGCAAGTTGAAAAAAAAATAAAAACTGAAAAATTCCGTTTAAAAATTGTTAAGAAGCATAAATAGTTTTTATTGAATTAAAGGAAACATAAATGGAAGTAAATAAAAAATTAAGAAAATCTTAATGTATTAATAACGGTTTTATTGAGTTGAAGAAAATTCAAGGAAAAAAAAACAAAAGCTGAAAAATTCTGTTAAAATTTATAGAAACTATAAATTATCTATTAAACTAGGGAAGATTAAAAAAAATTGAAGTCAAAAAAGTCTTCGAAAGGCAATTGTTTATTGTTGTTTTATTTAGCTTGACAGCATAAAGAGGAGATGCAAAAACTGTTGCTAACTATTTCTCATTCCTATTTATGAAAACAAAACTTGATTATTTGAATAATTACTCCTATTTTCGTGTTTCGCTTTTTAAAGGGACGCTATACAGCGGAGAAAAATTCTTTGAAAATTCTCCTTAACCTACATAAGTAATTTGAAATGCAACATATAGAAGAAGTGAGCTCAGGTAAACGTAGAGTAATCCATGAAGTTTCAAATTCATCAGAATTTGCTATTGAAAAGTTTCTCTCGTGGTATAGCGTCCTATTGATGGACATACAAACATTCCACCCATAACAACAGGAAAACAACATGAACAACAATTCGCCATTTAGAGAGTCCAGGAAAAGATTAAGAGCAGACGTCGACAAACAGACGTAATTTAAATGCCTATTGAAAAAAAATCTACTAGTTTAATTAACATTAAAAAGTTATAACCATAAAGATATCACAATGTTTACCACTGAAAAAATTTAGAACTAACGTAGTTTGATTTACGGACACAGAGAAACAAAGTATAATCGAAAGTAGCAGAATATAGCAACATGTGTTTAGCTACGGGAACACTAAAAAGCTCGGTAAATTTAAATAAACAATAAAACATTTTTTAATGTGTATTAAAACTTGGTAAAATCTGATAATTACTATCGTGATACCTTACCTTCGAGTATGACATATAAACTATTTATTCGGTTAAATTTACTTCATAGTTTCGTATTTTTTTATATATAAATACGTAATTATATATAATGTTTTTTTATACAATGTGTAAACCATAATTTCCTATAATTCGTTATTGTATGAATAGTTTAAATACCGTATGTACTATTTTTATTACCAGAATTACATTTTCTTACCCGAAATGTCTATACGATACAGTGCCAGAATATTTCTTTCCAGTCAACTTTTATAATAAAATATAGACAAGATTTCTCCACCTACGAAAAAATTAGCAAAAACACTGAATAATTCTCTTAATTTTCGCAAATTCTTACGAATCCAGGTAATGCAGCCCTAGCATAACTCTTCAAATAGCTAAAAAAAATCAGGAACTCTTTTTATTCTCATAACACTGCCTTTTCTTCATTTTCAGAATTAGTGAGAGCTAAGGACACGCTAAACTTGACCTAATAGTCGCGATCAACTGTTGCACCCTCACGGCAGTTAAGAAATTAGCATATAATTTAAAAAATAGCGTTACTTCACGCGATAACAGAAACTTCAAAAAACAATATGAAGCGACTGTGCATTTCATTTTCTTTTCTTCAAATCATCAGTTCAATTCATTTCATTAATATCGTTTTAAGTCCTAATTGTAGTGGTTAATATATTAAAATCTAATGTTTTTGGTTGTGATGATCAAAGAGAGCTAGAAGTATACTTACATTGAATGTAATCTTGTAACTGCTGAAACTCTGCTGGTGAGAGTTTTTCCCACTTCAGACTCGTAGGTGGGGCTTGACTCGGCATTTTCCTTGAAGTGTCACCCACACTTGTGTTTCACCCGAAACGGACGGATGAAAACGCCGAGCATCTCCGAACCAAAGATTTGTGGATGCTTTCAAAGAACTGGATAATTCTCATTTCCTGGAAGATAAAAATTAAACATTTGATGCGGATTTCGATTAAGATTTTCAGGAGCAGTTTTTGACACAACTTAAAAATTAAATAAAGTTTACGAATGAATGAGTTTCATTAGATTTATAATTACTTTTATTATTTGCAGATTTATTAACTATGCCATATTTTAATTTACGATATCTGTCAGAGATAGAGTTAAGAAAAATGCAATCGAGTAAAATTATTTGCAATATCTATTGTTATTAGCAAATATTAACTATTTATTTATTATATTATATGACCAATTATTTGACGTTTTGATTACACCTTAATCAAAACACACGTAATTAACACGCACGTAATCAAATCATTGCACATAATCAATTATCTGCAATTTTGATTATGCACACGCGTCATCAACAATTTTGATCGCACGCACTTAAATCATTACACTAATCAACAAAAACGTAACAAAATCATTACACGTAATCAACAATTATTTGCAATTTTGATTAAACATCATGAAATTTTAAAATGTAAATAAAACAAGTTTGATTACACGTAATCAAAACACACGTAATCTAATCATTAGACGCAATTAACACAAACGCAAGCAAATCATTAAACCAATAATTATTTACAATTTTGATTACACATAATCAAATCATAACACATAATGAACAATTTAGATTACACTTAATCAAAATACACTTAATTAAGCCATTACACGTAATCAACACATCGATAATCAAATATTTATATACGCAATCAATAAATATTTGCCATTTTGATTACATATAATCAAATCAGAACACATAATCAATAATTTTGATAACACACAATCAAAATTAACAATCGTGAATCCCATTTACATTAGATTAATCATAATTTGCAATCATAATTCAATATTTTTTTATAATGATTATTATTGTGATTTGGCAAAATATGATTATTTATAATCACAATTTAGAATTGTAATCGCTAATTATTATTACTTTCACGTTTAGAAGAAACTCTGGTAATGGTAAAATTAAAGCATATTTGCGTAGTGCATCTGTAAAGACATATTTTTTTCCTAAATTTGGAAAGGAAAGTATTATATTTCAAAGCACGGGAAAATTACTGATGCAATAAAATTATTACGCTAAAAAAAAGTAGTTGACTAAATTGAGAAGAATGTGAATGATTAAACTTTCAAATTATGTAAGCTTTGGGATAATATATTTGCCTATTGTTTACACGTATTTCCCATTGTAGGTCATTTTCATTACTGATGCAACGTATGGCTAGATACCTGTTTTGAGCAATCGTAGTTTTTTTTTTAAAATTTCAAAAATTGGGACTTAATAAAAAATATTTCCATAAATTATTTCCTCCTGGATATAATCAAAATCGGAAACACTTCATATTCATCAACTTTATGGCAGTAAGATGAATCCCCATATACTTCAGAAAATCAATAAGTAAAATACTTCAATTTCCTTTTTAACATTTAAAAAATATTTATAAACCCTTAAGGGTATATCAAAAATTAAGAAGTATATCAAAAGTAATTTTACCCTTATAAATATAGGGTAAAATTTTAATTAGTGAATGTTAAAAAAAAATTAATTGTATTTTGGATTATTTTTAATCAAGTATGTATTTGATATCACTATATACTAATAAACTGACTAATTAATAACTTATGTGCTATTAGCAAATGAAATTTATGCTGTTTTATTTCTGATTCATTAGTATATACTAATATCCAAAAGTAGAAGTTCATTTCCACCCATTAGCAAAATGGGTGTTGTTTTGGGTTTGATGGCGTGCGCACCTTATTTGTACGTCATAACACTTTTTAACTGTGTTCAAGAGTAATAGTAAACAGTGCGCATGCGTCGTCATTGCATGCGTTACTATGGTGACCGCTGGTGTTTGATAATTTTTTTAGAATTCTGTTTTTGATTTTAAATTTTGTTATGCACTAAGTTGGTGAGTTTATTTTTGAGATATGGGACTAGAGAAATCCCATAAATATTTCTTGAGTTGTGAATAAAAGAGAATTTCATCATTTGAACGATATTTTTTTTTTCTAATTAAAAATCAGAAATTCTAACCTACAGCTCAAACTGGATCGTTTTCAATATTAATTTAGGTGAATATCTCAAATAATGAGAGTCCCAAGTTGATCGACACGGTCCCAAAGGTTAAAATTGAAGCAAGAAGAAAAAAGACGATGCCAGGGCCTAAACTAACCGAGGCTGAAAAAGCTAAAGATAACGAACGTAGACTGGATAGCGTTATACACAAACGGGAAAACGAAGGGATTCTGTTCATAAACGCAACCGTAAAGCCCGTTCTTCATAAAACAAAGGGGATCATGAAAATGAATGGAATCGTAAACGACGTCACAAGAAGCGTCATCTCACAGACTTGAATGATACTGCCCAAGTTCAGAGCCTGACAAAAGCAGGGGCATACGGGGCAGTTGCCCCGGCTCCACATCAGAGGGGGCCCCAAAATCGAATTGAAAGTTTATTTTAGGTTTATTTCATTAAAGAACTTTTTTTAGACAAAATATCAGTACAGTGTAAAATCCGTCAGTTTTATTTTAGCCTCTTCATTACTCTATCGTGCGAACACAAAAAATCTGTATTTCGAAAATCCATGGCTTTCTAGTGCTGAATTCAACTAAATTTTTGCAATTACGATGGACAAATTTGGCCAATCAAAAGCCTGTATTTTTACATCTAGCAATATACGATATGTTTACAAGAATACAAGCTTCTGATTGGCTTGATGGAGCCTTCGTATTTGCGAACATTTGGCACGATGGACATAGAATTGTCAGAAAAACAATAAAATGGACAGAACGATATTTCGTTCGATCATTGGAGGATAGGGGGGACTTTATAACTATTTTAGGTTCCAGTACATTTTCTAGTTATCTATGTATAATGAGGTGAAAAATTTAGATACCTACATAAAATTCAAATCTTCACTACTGTGAGTAATGAAGCAGAGGGGGCCCCAAAGAATTTTTTTGCCATGGGCCCCAATTAGGCTAAGTCGGGCCCTGCCCAAGGTACAGGTGCGGAGGACCAAAAACATGAAAGCAAACGGATAAACGGAAAAACTCGAATCGCAAACGCATGCGTGAAGCCCGTTCTTCACAAGACTACCTGGATTTGAAAATGAATTGAGGCGTAAACGTCGCAAGATGCAACAAAGCGAAGATTTAAGTGATGATGCCCGAGATCCATACTATATCGTCCTTGAGAAACTCATTTTTAAGGAAATTGAAGATGTTCCAATACACCAATGCCATTGTTGTGATAGATTGTGGTTTTCAAAACAAATGACAAAATCTCCTAACAACAAAATTAGACAACAACCATTTTGCCAATGGGTAACCTGTGAGCTATCACAGTTTTTTTTCCTTTTGTCTTGATTAACCTTTGTATGCCAAGCCACAAAATGTGGTGGTGCATATTCATCTACACATAGCGGGTACTTTTTGTTGTTTTGATTACACTTTTAATGCTTAATAAATAGTTGATTTTCATACAAAAGTATAATTTGATGTAATCGCTTCTCTGTTATAATTTTCATTCTAAAAAACCACGGTAAATGAATCAACAGCAGTCCCATTTAATTAACCGTGAAGTTAACTGTAAAGAATATTTTTTTAAAGAATTATTAGAGTAACAAAAAATATTGATTACAATTCTTGCAATACAATACATTTGCCAGAAAAAATAATATAGTAAAGAATACGATGACGATTATTTAAATCACATAATGAAAAATTTATATGTTCTTAAAATACAAATACCATTCACTAAATTACATTTATTTTCAACCTCTAAATTATGTTAAATTATGCTAAATTAGATACAATTTATCATACATACCTACGTCTGTATGATAAATTATATCATTTTAATTTGTATGTTTGCATTTTGAATTATTATATATTTGAATTATTATATATTTCATTTATATTTCTTTTCAGATTCTGCTTGCTGATTTAGTTTTCAAAACTTTAGAATCAGGAATTAATAATGGAAATTAGGTTTTAGTAATGGAATGAATCAATGTGTAGTTATAACTTAATCAATTATTAATAGATTAATTTCATAAGTCGAATGAATCAATTATCAATATATAAATTTGTAAAATTAAACGGAAATTTGTTTTAAAGAGTTATTATACTGATAAGATATGATGAGAATTTTCAGGTATTCAGAAACATTCATAACTGTGATCAATAAACTTAAGTAAAACTGTTTAGAAAATAAATAAGCAATGCCTTCAAAAATGTGTTGGTTGAAATAAACAAGAAACCTGAAATCTATAATTCAATAAATTCAGCACGAGTAAGCTCTGGGAATTTTATGCGGAATTGGAAAGAAATAGACATTAACTTATGAAGTAAACAAATAACTTTAAAAAAATTGGATATAGTTAAACGACAAATGAAAAGATCTGCAATATTGCAACGTTATGGAATCATATAGAATTTTTCTTATACAAACACGACATAAACGAATATATGCTTAAAAAGCTACAACAAATTAATGCTACACTGAGAAAAAACAACTTTCGTAAAATTATCGTACTGTATGATAATGGCATTTCTGGTTAAAAACAAAAAACCTGACGTAATCCTGATTTATAAAAACGAAATAAACGGTACTTAAACCATTCATTTGGTAATTTTTCCGTTCATGTGGTAACGTTTTACTGGCAATTTTTGTTTTCAAAATTAATGTTCATATTATCAGAAGTTTAGTAAAAAAAATACCAAAATCAAAAACAAACTTAACCAAATAAATGCTTTTTATGTCATGATAAAATAATCAAACTTTTCATGTTTACCGTATTTTATCACATATTATAAAACCTTAATTTATCTTTAATTTTACCAAAATCATTACTAAACCCTTTCAGTAAAAGTTACCGATATTTTTCTCAGAAAGCCAGAAACTCAGTAAATGCTACCATATTCTGGTAGTTTTGACCATACTTTTTTTTACAGT